GTGTGCAGGAGCCATTTAGCTCACGATTCTCGACGCTCGACGCTTGACGCTCCCATGTAATGGCACCTTAAGCCGGAGTTCGGAGTTCGTTTGAAGCAATTTGAAATTTGAATATTATCAAAAGTTAATTCCGTCATATTGTATATAAGTAAATACGATTAACGAGAAATGATCCTTTGTTACAACAAATTACCCGATAATGGCTACAATATCAAATTTTAACGTGGACTTTAAATCTGAAAAAACCATCCACAAACGCAGGTCGTCGGTTTTCCACGCGCGGCTTTCTATAGCCCACAATCACCAAAAAGGTTAAGTTTACGAAGTGACAATCATAAAAATATTTTCATGTCGAAATATTTAATTTAAAAATAATTGAAGGTCGGAATAGGCCTGTCTCAACTAACGATATTATTTTCATAAATATAATTGTTTCTTATGAACAATTTTATTCTTAAAATGTTAATTTCTATATTTAAAAAACTGCTAAAAAAGAGACCAACTCTAGTAACTGTAGCTATGTCTTCTTCCAGATAAATATATTTTGTATTTATTTATTCCATGTAAAATATGAAATTACTAATAAATATATTTATATTATAATGGTAAACAAAATATCTTTTAGACGACATTGAAGTTATAACTAATGGAAACAGATCAAATAAAAAAGAAAAAGAATGCAATGCAAAGGATACTGTTGAAGCTTTCAATCTGAGGGAATATATAGATAAACTCAGGCAGGAGCGAAAGGACTGGCAACAGGAGTATAGAAATCGCAAAGATCAACGGAGAAACTTGACCAAGCAGAAAATAAGCACAGAGGGACAGGAACAGGTTCTCGACATAAATGTACTGACAGAAGCCGAAAAAGCTTTTGTCTTGACACGTCCCAATTATGAACACATCTGCAAAAATAGCCAGAAATTATTAGACGTGGCGTTAAAAATATCTACGCTTAGTCAACATGTACATAAACTGAATCAAAAATTCATGGAAAGAATGGAAGGCAATATATTAAGGGCCACTGCAAATATTATTAAGATCTCAGAAAAATGAAGCAGATCAGCAGTAGTTTTAGGAATCGTTTATTTTTTCAATTCTACAAATTTACAGACAATAAGAGCATCATAATAAAAATATAAATAACATTTAATTAAATATAACACTAAGCATGATTGATTATACAATACTGATTTGTGGATTGTGGCGCATTTACATTATATTTATATATACATATATATATATATATATGAGATAAAATATAATAAATAAAAAATAATTTACCAATATTATACAGCATTAAACTTTATATCTATGGAATATGGAGAAGACCTCTACTTCCTGCCATTTCTGGCACGTCAACGAAATTCGAGATATTAACTCGGTCGTATGAAAAGATATTTCTTAGAATGACTCTTACGATCACGTTTTGTGGTATACTAATATTCAATGCTTCAAATAATCTAAGATTGTACGGAATAACCAATAGAGTTGTCATCTATGCAGATGGAAGCTCTTTCTTCTCGCTGCTTTCCTCTCCTTCTGCGCGAGGTATTCCTTCCTTGACTGACTGCTATGTAGTTCTAGGATGTGATTAATTTTTCGTACAATCTCGTCAGCCGTCACTGAATCCGCCTCGAAATCATGATTCTTGAAAGATGCTGATTGATGAAGCGAATGACTTTGACCTATAGCATCATCCATAATTTTAAAATATCGGTCTATGAAATATTAATTTTTATCATAAAGTTTATTTAACATTAGAAATTCATGAAAAATAATTTTTCTTAAAATTTGTTTTCCTTGGAAAAAACGAAATGATCAATATGTAATTATATATAAAAAAAAATAACTGACTCAGAATATTATCCGAAGCGCTGGATTGCGGGGTATAAACCAGTGTAAATATAGTTTTCGATCCTTTAGTCTCGGTCACTTCGCACCAAGCGATGTTGTCTATGTGATAACTGACTGCCCGCTGTCTATTCCAAAATCTAGCAGCGCCTTTACCTGTTATCACTGGATCTATCTCTATCTTCTCGCCCGATATTCCAAGATGAATCTCAGTTTTTGCTCGCATTTTGTTAATTATATATACTCTGCAATTTTAGAGATATGAATATTCTTAAACAATCTGAACACACACACACACACACACACACACACACACACATCTCAACAATTATCTATCTTATATTATTCTCTCGCTTTTACAACTTAATTATTATATATGTTTCAACATTATACTTCTCTTTAATTCTCTCTTTCTCTCTCTCTCTCTCTCTTATCACTTTTCTATATTTTTATTTAAGTTATTTACTAATTGTTATTTCAATGTATTTATTCTAACCATTATTTTATAAAAAACTATATATTGTATGTAATATAACTATATATTGTATGTATATTGAGGAATCACCTATATGACTGATACAATGGTGCCTCCATCGCAGTAGTATGACCCTCCATCTTGGCCAAGTCTTTTGCAACTTCCTCCTGCTCCTTGTCTTTACCATCCAGGATCTGCTCATCTTTTTTCTCAATGTAACTTATTGTGTCGTATCGTGCTTTATCACTCGGCTTCATCTCAATCAAGCCCAGCGTAGTGAATTCGAATTTGGAGATAGTTTCGTGTGGATCTAAACAGGGAAAGGCCCAGTCTATCTCACCGTCATCTTCAGTGAGATACAGTCCATAATGTGAAATGTCCCTGGAAGTAACGGCCAATGGAGACTTTATGAATAAGTGTCGTGTGTGCTAGCAATGAAGTAACTTATTACAGACTTCAAATTATGGTCGGGATGTTCAATTGCATATTTGTAGCAAATCAACCCAATAAAGTCCAACACCCGTGCTGTTACTATCACTGCCGCTTGAAGCGGATACCTCCTGTCCTCTTTCGACAACATACACATGAATATTCTGTACTTTCTCACCGGAACGCTCACTTGTGTCTGTGTAAAGAAATTTTTTAATATTATGAAGTCATTTTTCAAGAACGAAGCTAATAAAGAATAAATTTTATAATGCATAATCTCTATTTTTTTGCTAAATCTTGCAATACATAATTTTCATTTTTAAGAGGTTTTTTGGAAATGAACTTTTTGAAGGAAACAAAAAACAAATACATACGTCGCCATCAAATTTGGCATATTCTTTAAATGGATTTGGTGGTAAATATGGACATTTTTCGAGTTGTTCTGACAAAAGAGATTGTCCTTTTTTAAGTGGAGTTTTCCTACGAAAATCTTTTCTTTGAAATAGATCTGATTGATCTGCAGGTGTCATAGCACTAAGATTGTATTCCCATTTGACATGCTTGATTTTGGCGGCCTTTTTCCTTTCTATATCCATTTTCTCTAATCTTTGTGCAGTATTAGATCTCTGTCTGTGACTGAACGGCATTTCTAAAATGACGTAATACAAAAAACGTAATAATTAAGCAATTCAATAGAAATAATAACACTTTAATTTAGTTTTAATTATAACATAAATCATGCTATAAAAATTATTTTATAGCCTCGAACCGAAATAATTCCAATGAGGATTTTGTATGATACTCTTATATAAAATAATAGAAAACAGAAGTACATACCCATTTGTATGTCATATGATTCTGACATCACATCTAAATCCTCGTCGTCACTTTCTTCCATACCAGGATAACATTGCAGGGTATTGTTTTTCTTCAACTGCTTAGGAATATCCTCTCCGAGCATCACCATGTCGCACATACCTTTCAATCAAAGTTGTATTCTGATATACATTGTCAATATGAAAATATATGGTATATGTAAATTACAGATTTGCAGTACTGACAGTGTATATCAAAACAGCCCCAGAGTAATATAAGACATATACAGCAAAAAATAATTACAATACTAAATAAATTAATTGTAATATAGAACATAATACTATTTATTAAGACATTTAGCTTATTTACTGAGTTGCATTAATATATAAACAATTAATTTTAATTTAATTAATTTATTTTACAATAAGCATATGTCATCGGAAATATTATTTCAGAATTCCGGATCAGAGTAACGCCTCTGCCGACGATTCTAACCTAAATTTCTAACCTAAATTTATCAGAAGTATATACCTGAGTCGTCCGTCGCGAGAAAACCGTCCCTGATGTGCGACAGGAGCCAATGTTGATTGTCGTACAGAGCCATTTTTTTCGTCCTTTTTTTTCTATTGATTAGACGCCCATTATATTAGTAAACATGAACGCGTCTCGATAAAACGCGCTCTCGACGACCCATACCGATCGAACCTTTTTATAAATCGAAAGATCGATTTCCGCGCCCAACATGTCGCATGGAACGTCGTGAAGTTAGTCGCTACAATTGCCGGCAGGTAGTAAGTAATAGTAGTTGAGTCAGCGACATCAGGGATTACAGATGACTTTGACTAAATTCCAATTAATTTAATCAACATCAATGGAAAGTAATATCTATAGTATTTTGTTAATATGGACAGAAATTTTTATTTTTTTGTTGTTTGGTACAAAAAGAAATTAGAAGCGATAAATTGTTATATGATTTGAAATTTTAAATAATTTTGCTTCGATTAAATTAATCGCAATAATTAATTGATAAACTAATACTTGTAGTATATTTTATCCTAGATGAAATTATCAACTCTCTTTCGGTTGCATTAGGGATAACGATTGTATAAAAATTTCGTTTCTCAAGGTAGACTTAAATTAATCATTTGAGCAAACAATAGCAACTTAAGATGATAAAAGAATTTAATTATCACTGAATAAGATTCTCTCTAAAATATAAAATTTTTTAAAATTAAATCTAATTTTATTATTGTAACTAATAGTAAAACATTTTTCATGCATGAATATGTATAAATATGTATAAACATACATAATTTTATATGAAATAATCCATATACGTACATGTTCATATATCCTTCTTTCTTTTGTAAAATTACTTTTTAGTGTAATAGAAATAACAATAGTAATATGAAAACATTAAAAATAATTAAAAAGGTAATTTTCACACTATTTATTTTAGAAAAAATCAAGTTTGAAGAAATGTAAAAAGTTACTTATGTAAGCAATTTTTTTTAACATTTTTCCAAACATGTTTCTTTCTAAAACGAACAATGCGAAAATTATCCCTTTAATTATTTTTTATATTTTCACATTACTATTGTTATTTCTATTACTCTGAAAAGTAATTTTACAAAAGAAAGAGAGATGTATGAATATATATGGACATATTTCATATGATTATACGTGTTTATTAATATTTATGTATGTTTATACATATTTATACATATTAATATATGAAAAATTTTTTATATATTATATTGACGTTTGACATATGTAGTTTATTTATTTATTTAGTATTTACTTTATTAACAATAATACATAAGCGATCACATAGTTCATTATCAATTACATGTACTATTGTGAATATTTCGCGATATTTCACAATATAATTGCTGGAATGCGTTTTCAATTTCGCACTATTTGATAAGATTCGTGTTTTTCACGTAAATTTTTATCTGCAAAAAATGGGAACCGTTTAAAGTTTTGATTTCCCGACTAATCGATCAAATGAATCGATCTCAAACAAAACAATTCCTAAATAAAATGAACATCTAAATACTGTTACAAAGTCTTTCTCGATTATTGCGTTACATAATAATAGCACAATTGATTTTTGTGCTGCCTTATTATAGATATAAACAATAGCCTGGTTTTTAGAATCAAAACGAATAACAATTTACAACGACGCGTTATATGCAATGATATTGAATAATAGTATGATAATAACAAATTAGGCGAAATCTCACAATATAAGCATTAAAGTGGCTATTTAGAAGCCTCAATAAAATTTGTATATACGTAATTACTATGTAATATATATCTTTCGTATATACGTATTTTTTTAATATGTCATATATATATATTTATTATCCCATTTTGTAATTATGCGCATAAATTGCTCATTTCTAATTACTATTTTCCAATGATTTTTTGAAGTTACATGGCAGCGTCGCGTTTAAAATTTTAAAGGCGATTTTTAGTTCTCATGATCTGTGGGGCTTTCACGGTGGCAGTGACGGCGGCATTGGCTGAGGGCTGGTTCTCCAAAATGGTGCCCCAGATTGCCGCGGCCACCCCACCGCGGGCCCCCTTCTCGGCGTCAGTGTTCTTCTTAAAATTGTGCACTGAGTAGCGATTGTACAAGCCCCAAATGCTATTCATCAGTTTACTGTTGTACTTGAGTGGCATTAACTCCCAACCTACATATTTAAAAAATCAAATGTACAAGTATAAATTAAACCGTTAAATGTTACCGTCTGAAATGAAAATTGAATTTATAAAAACGGTGAAATCAAATAAAGATATATATTACCCTCTAGTGGAGGCCTCGGATTGAATACGTTTTCCTTCTTTTCTTCAGTTTTTTCTTTTTTCTTCATCATAGAAACAATTTGCTCCTCGTTATAGCGAACTTTACACACTGCGAAAGCACCCTGCGGAATGGAAGCCATTTTTCCACAGTCTACAAAATTGAATATTATTGTAAATAACTCATTGTAACGATTAAATAATTAATATTCCTTGCACATAGATTAAAGTTCGATATGTTCCACAGTAATATTAATATTCTACATATATTACAATTCTCGTAATAATTGAATTTATAAAACATTTATATTAGTAATTAATGAATTGATTTGCTCTTTATTATTGATGTTATTTATGCTAAAATATTTCTTGATAACAAGTTGAAATTACTAGTTGTTAATTAGCAGTTTCATTTAGTACTTTCATTAGTACTTTTAGTTAATTAGTAGTTTCATACGATATAACAATTTTGTTTGAGTCTTATCGATTAAATTGTTACGTCTATAACGAATGTATAACGTATGTATATATATGTATGCAATAATTGCGATACATGATGCTTTACTATTAAAAAATATCTCAACAGAGATCTTACAATTTCAAGAAAGAAAGTTAGTTTAGTAGTAATTTAATAGTATCAAAAAAGAAGGAAATATATCTCGAATAAGAAGGAAATATATCTCGAATTTAATCGTGATGAATCAAAACAATAACAGTCTTGCTACAATTATAGTGTATATTAAATCTATGTACATGTACGTGGGTTACGATCTTCCTATACATTCATAGCTATTTATGTCTCCTTATCATGCCTTTCATATCGTTAAGCTTTGATCTTCGTATGTCTTATAAGTAAACGGAACAAAGTGAGTAGAATTAATTCTGCTAATACTTTTATTTGTTGCTCATTTGTCGCTGAAAAGGTGTCAAAGAAAAAAACTGTAAGTTTTCTTAAAAAATGATGTTTCGCTAAAGGAAGATTAAATTAGCAGAACAATACATACAAATATATAACAACATATACTTAACAATAACGTAGGAATTTGTTGCTATCTAAGTATCTAAGTTTCAAATCCATTAATTGCAAAATAAATGTAAATAACAAATAAGAATATTAAAATTTATTCTGCTCATTTTATTCTGCCAATTTATAAAAACTTGATCTTCGCTCATAAAGATAATTACGTCTCTCCACTATTTATAATATTACAAATGTCAAAGCATGTTTCCTACAAGAATAATAAATCGTAATCACTGCTGACATAATAACGTATGATTTATCTTGGTTGTATTTCATATATTTTATTTGTTCTTCTTTTTATTCTCTAAAATCTAAATGTGCATTTCATCCCTTTTTAAATTCGTAAAAACTCAAAAGAGTTCGCAAACGCTGTTAAAGTTGCGCTCTCGTTTGAATAAATATTTTCTACGTTTTTCGCCAAATCCAACTGACCGATGCAACTCTCGAAAAGCAATTCCGTTATCTGCCTTCTCGTAAATTGTCTTCCCGTCGCCAGGCTCGCCTTCGGTGTGCTTCCTTTTTTCTTGTCTCGATTTGTCCTTCGAGTTTCGATCCTCCGGGAAGCGTCAAGCCTCAGGCAACCGCCAGCGATGGTGGTCTCAGTAAGATTCATCAACCAAAGGAAAGCCTTGTCTTTGTCGTCAACGTACGATAGATTGTACTGAACTGTACTTCCGCTTTGCGTCGCTATTTGTTTGTAATCTGTGATTCGTGCGTAGCTTCTTTTCGACTTCTCTGAGTCTACTCTGAAATAATCCAACGTGATTACTGGTTCCCAACGCGACGGCGGTCATCACTTATAAGCTCGATAGGGAAAAAAGCAAGGAAGATAGCGGGACCGAGACGGACAGAGAAAGAGAGATGCTTTTTTTTATTCGTCATAATAAGAACGGCATATCGGCGGCCTTCGAGACACTGACGTTGCCCGACCACCGTGGACTCGGTCTTATCGTCTTCAATGAGCAAGAACCAGTGTCGTAGTCTGATTCTGATGCAATAATGGAAGTTGAAAATTTAAATTCGAATAATATCGGTACTGTAAAGGAAGAAAAAATAACATTTAAACGACGCGCGTTTAAATATTCTCGTGTTTCAATTGAATTGTAAGCGTATATAGAGAGATTACATTTCTTTATATGAATACCAACCGGAAATAATTCAAATCGTTTATCAGACAGAACATTGAAAATCTTGACGTCATTTTTCGTGTTAGCCTGATATGAGGACCACAAACGAAGATTTCTCAAAAAGGAGGGCAAGACGTTATCGCAATAAACAAATTTATCAAAACGAGAACAAACGTTTATGCTTTTTATCATCGCGAATCTTGTTACGGACGTTACTTTTCTTGTGTTACATGTTTCTCTTTTGTCGTTTATCATAAATAGGACAGTTGCATCAACATACATGTAGCAATGGCGTTTTGTACGTGTTTCTATGTTTATATTTATTGCATTTGAATAAAGCAAATAATTGGGCAAATTGTGTAATAAATATATATTCCTCCGATCAATCTGTTTTCAAATTAATTTATAATTTGACAAGACAAATCCATTTGTTAAATGAAAAATTTGACAGTTTTGGATTTATTGACAATTATATACTTTTTTAATTATATTTACTTTTTTATAAAAATAAATAATTTTACAAAATAAAAAAATGTTATAAACGTATGATTTCTGAAAAATAGTTAAAAAATATCCCGTGCCACAAACCTATATGTACTTATTCGTACTTTTCCATATTTCTATTTTTACATTTCACTGAATATTATTTAATGCATAAGCATACATTTTACGATATGGTAATTTTTTAAGCATACAAAGGCAGATAATTGAATATTTTCAGATTTGTATATGAAAAAATCAAAAGAAATGTTCAATATTAAATATGAGTTAACGACTATAATATGAATTAACACAAACATTCATTCTATTTAATATATATTTTTATACTTCACACATTTGAACTAGATTTGTAAATAAGTCAATATAACGTTTACATGGAATTTAATACCAATTTTTGTTACGTGTTTTTATTATGATTTTTATTAGAGTTTTAATTTAAGATATATTAATCTATAAACTAGATATTTACTTTTGATATTAAGGATTTATAGTTTTATTTAAAAAAATAAATCTTCTTTTCTTATTAATGTATTTACTTTTTTCACAGAATATAAACCCTTTAATAGTTATAATGAAAATAGTTTTAACTAGATAATTATAAGTTACGAATTTTATATCATTTTTATTTAATACATTTATTGATCAGTGTTTTAAGTATCTTTTTTATTTGAATAATTACATTTAATTGTAATTATTGTTGTTTGTTAAATGAAATGTGAATTTTCATTTCCTGGATTTGCCTCGCGAGATTTGCTGTTTGGAGAAAATAGGGCAATAGGAGTCAGGCGTGATAATCGTTGCGCAAATAATATATCGATATAACACAAACCTCTTTATAAAAAACGCGCTTATGTTTCGGCTCATTTTTGAGCCCTCTTCAGAGACAAATCACTCTAATATGTACAATGTGTACTTAATAACTACCTTATCGTGGCGAGCTCCACTATACTAAAATCTTTATACAAGAATTACATACAGATGAATGTTAAAAAGAAAGGAGAAGAATTATTGGAATAATTAGAGATAAGATTTTGGAAAATTTTTATAAATTTAAGCTACAATAAAAGTAAGGAAGCTCACCACGAGCATAAAACACCATATCGCAAACATTAGAGGAAGGTCAGTGGTACCGACATACCATTTTGTTTTTAGACAATATTTTTTAAACAAAAGGTAAAAATACAACTTCAAAAACATAAATACAAGCTAAAAAGTGTCTTCTATCAGTTAATATAAGCAGTTTTTATAATACTGTTGCAATTTTGCAATAATTAAGTTTTTCATAAGTTATGCAAAAATGAGCGTCTGACAAAATGGGCTCCAAATATTTTTGTAATCGTCGGTAAAATTTTTCCCAGACAGCACAAAATACTAAAATATAACAAAAAAGTGTCTATAAGATGTAAAAGACGTCATATATAGACATTTTTTCGTTATCTTTCAGTATTTTGTGCTGTCTGGGTTTGGACATGAATTTTCTTTGAAATCAACTGTAAGAAACGAAAGACATGCCGCATATTATTATATTTTCAAGTTATTGTCAATGTTAGAACGTTAGCGCCAGTACATCTTTAGAGTTAGCTTATAATTGAAAAAATTATTGTAGTTTCGACATTTTCGTACTAAAATTTTCGTCTCAAAATTATTTCAATAAGTCCTTAAGAGAAAATGCGATAGTTGTGAGACACTCTGTATATATAGAATGACATACATATAATAAATAATGACAATGATCGAGAACTGCAATCAAGGATATATTGCTAAAATTCTGATTCTTTTAAAACAAAAGCAGATTTTGCTTCAAAAAATTCCACAATATTCAAAAATTTGTATTAAATAATTACATCTGAGAATTTAGTCATGGAAATCCAGATTATCGATAATTAGTAATACACGATAATAAATAATAAAACGATAATAATGATACAGATATTACAAATATTGTAATTTTTTGATGGTTGCACGGAAGTTCTTGAAATCATGAGATAAAAATTTAAACGATCTTTTAATATTTTTTATTAAGTTTTGAGACAGAGAGGAATTATTGCCATTTGAACTTTGATTCTATAATAATTAATCAATGATTTTCTACATTCCAATGATTAATGGATTGGACTATGAACATTATTCACAGGGATGCAAATTATGTGTACAAAATGTCTTTTTAATTATTTTATTATTGAAATTATACACAAGTATAAAGTATTACACTAATATCAATTGTAAGAAAGCTTCATATCTAAAAAAATGTTATATATAATCAATGTTACATATAATTAAAAAAATGTTAGATATAATCAATTATTCTAAATCATGAGACCAATTCGGCTTCCTCTTTTCTAGAAAACTTTGTATTCCTTCCTGAGCATCTTTCATTTTCAGATTATTTACCATTTTTTCGGTACCGAGAACATATGCTGTCGATATATCAAGAGTAATTTGTTCATACAGAAATGTTTTACCAAAATGCATAACCGAGCGACTCTTTGCGTTAATTGCGTCTGTAATTCGACGAATTTCCTCGTCTGAAATCGAAGTTAAATATAACTTTAGCACCGAGACACTATCGTGTCTCTGGATAAGATATGTATACAAGTGAAAAATGAATTGTGTAAATACGTTACTATTTTATTAAATAAAAAATGAAAATAATATAAATATATTTCTAATATTAATATATGTTAATATATATGTATTAGTATATGTTAACATTTTCGCAACCGGAAACTTTTCCAAAACTAAAAGCCAAATATAATAAATTTAAATCTGTACAGCTATATTGCCGCAGAGAGACTTGTCATTAAAATAAGAATAAAATTATAAGATTTGCTCTAATATATTATATAATTAATTACTTGCTCTTTAAAATTGAAGAAAATTTATTTGTTACAAACATAAATAGAAAAAATATCAAATTGAAAAAATTAATTCAATATTTTTATATAAAAATAAAATTAGTTAAACATTTTTACATAAAAAAAATTAATTATATATACTTTAAATTATATATAAAAATATATCCGGAAAAAATGTTTCATATATAATTATATACAATTATATAAAATTACAATATATAAAATTATACATAATTATATAAAAAATTGACATATCTTATATACAATTATATATAATTATATATAAAATATGTCCATTTACATAACATTTTTTCCCGGGATAATTTCATATTTATAAGTACTTTATAAGATATTTTTTAAAATATAAAAGATTTCTGCAAAATTTGTAAATGAAATATCTTTTATTGTACTTAAAACACTAAAATACTACGAAAATAATTTATATTTTCCGTGTATTTTTTCGTCGAAAATACGCAAATAAATTTGTTTTCTTTTCAAGATAAAACTAACTGCTGGATTTGCATTCCGTTTAATCAATTTGAATTGTGAATATAAAAAGACGTGTTATTATATCAATGACAACGCTTAAAATACTATGAAAAGAATTTATATTCATTTTTCCATGTTTTTCCATCGAAAATACGTAAATAAATTTGTTTTCTTTTCAAGATAAAACTAACTGCTGAATCTACACTTTGTTTAATCAATTTGAACTTCAAATATAAAAGACGTATTTACATAACGCTTTTTTTAACATTGATAACTAGTCATTATATTGATAACATTTATTTACAACTAGTCATAGTTATAAATTTTAAGAAACGTACTTAGATTAACCAGTTACATATAGTTTATAAAAAGACATAATTATACACCCCCAGACAGCACAGAATATTTATGATAAATATTTATTATAATTCATTTTCTCTGTTCTATAAATATTTTATACATATTTTATATAAAGCTTTATTCGAAATATTATTAAAAGATAGAGTAAATATTTAATGTAATATTTATGATAAATATAGTATATAAATATTTCTGTTAAGTATTTTTTATTTGAATTGTTATGGCTCATTAAGTACGAGTATTTCCATAACATTTACCTATTACAAGATTTACAATAAATATTTCATAATATGTATAATAAATATTTATGATCTATGCAATTTAAGATCACAAAAATATTTGCAAAATATTTAAAATGCCTTATAAATATTTATAAATATTTTGTAAACATTTTATAAATATTGTATGCTGTCTGGGGAGCTGTCAACGGCTGCAAATATGTTAATATATCATTCTTGAAAGTGTGTTTTCTTATAAACTCAAAATAATAAAAAGAGAAAGATAATTATTTTATGTCTGTTTACAAAAATAATTACTAATAGTTTAGTTTTTGATCTTTAAATAACTTAACTTCTTGAAATAACATAAAATTAACTTACTATTTTTCGATTTAATTTTTGTATTACCTTTTCTAATCTTTTTCATTTTTCATTGGTGACTTACCGAGTTTGTCGTTCGCTACGACTTTGCTAACGAGACCGCATTCGTAAGCTTCTTTGCCGGAAATAGGGAAACCAGTAAACAGCATGTACATTGCATTCTTCCTTGGTACATTGCGCACCAGTGGTATACCCGGTGTCGAGCAAAATATCCCGATATTCGCTCTGTAAAAGGTATCGAATAAAAAATAATAAGTAACATTTTCAATAATACAGAAATAATATAATTAATAATAGATATGTGCGATATTAATAAGATAATAATTATATACAGTAAGACAATCATGAGGAGTAAACTTTACAAGAGTACCCCGGAGTGGAGAACGAACTTCTTTCCGTGCACACCGCGATGTCACACGCCGCAACCAATTGACAGCCAGCTGCGGCTG